CCCTTATCCCTCCCTACCCACCCATCCTCTCTAGTCCCTTTCCCTTTGGTACCTGTTAGTCCATTCTTGGGTTCTGTGATTCCGCTGCTGTTTTGTTCCTTCAGTTTTTCCTTTGTTCTTATACTCCACAGATGAGTGAAATCATTTGGTATTTCTCTTTCTCCACTTGGCTTATTTCACTGTCAGCTCACTTTCTTACTTCACTCAGTTCTCTCTCCAAGTGGCACCTTGGCAAGGCCTTCCTGACCACTTTACCTAAAGTTTTATCTCCCACCTCCTTACTTTGCTTGATTTTTTTTGTCATAGGATTTATTACTTGATATTATATATTTTTTAACATTTGTTGGCTTTCTGTCAGTTTTCCTTACTAGAATGTAGGATCCATGAAGGCATAGACTTTGTCTTATTCTCCACTATTACCCTAGGGTCTAAAATGTGATATTCCCTTATCCTGCCCTGTATTAGGCACTTAATGAATATTTGAATTTATGGATGACATTATTTCTTAAAGTGTGGTTCTCTGACCAGCAGCCTAAAGTGTCACCTAGGACCTTGTTACAGATGCAAGCTCTTGAACTCCACTACAGACCTGCTGAATCAGAAACTCTGAGGGTGGGATCCAGCAATTGGTATTTTAATAAGTCCTCCAGGTGGGTCTCATGCACTCTGAAGTTTGAGAATTCCAATCTGGCTAAGTGTGTTAAAGTAGTAAAGTGTGGCCTTTGGAGGCAGGCTTGTGTTTGATTTCTGGCTTCCCCTCTTAGTAAGGCTTTATCAAGTTATTTAACCTCTTTGATTTAATTTTCTCATCTGCGAAGCAGGACCCATAATACTTACTTTACAGAGTTGTGAAGATAAATGAATTAATCTAATGCCAAAACATTTGGCATATAGTAGGACTTAATAGTGGTTGGTTCTCTTCCTCTTGTCTTTTCATGAGGCACTGAACTCCAGTTAACCATTTTTGTCCATGCTTTCATATAGGAATGGAAACTACCATGTGGACCAAATTATAATTGAGTGCCTATGGAATAGAAAGACCATATTTCAAAGGAGAGATTAACTTTTTTATTTTTTTTACTGGGGGTGAGGCTCTTAAAAAAAAAAAAGACAGATGTGGGCCTAGAAAAATAATATTCATGAGTACATACCCAAAATTTACATACAGTATTATAATACTCATGGACCTCACTGAAACCCAATTAATTCCTCCTTCCTCACCATCCCTAGCTTAAGACCTCTTACTCTAAAGCACTGGTTCCCAGACTTTACCTCACATTTAGAATCATCTGTGGAGCTCTTAAAAGTTCTGATTAGTCCTCACCCCAGAGTTACTATATCAGAGTGTTGGAGAGTAGGACCCAGTAACTTTTTAAAATCCCCAGGTGATTCTAATGTACAACTTCATTGGATTAAGAACCACTACTTCACACCAGTGCTTTTCAGACTTTAATGTACATTTAAATCACCTGGGAATCTGTTAGCAGATTGTTTTGATGTCTGGGATGAAGATCCTGTATTTCAAACAAGCTTCCAGGTGAGTCTGAGGCTACTAGTCCATGAACCACACTTTGAATTTTAAGGCTATAAAAGTTACTTAAAGACTCATATTGCTTTAAGGCAGTGATTCTCAAAATTTCAGAGTGCATCAGAATCATGTTTATTGAAGCACAGTGTTTACTAAAGCAGACTGCTGATTGTCCCTCTCTGAGATTTTTATTCAGTAAATTTGCAGTGGGGCTAAAGAAATTGCATCTTTAACAAGTTCCAAGGTGTCTTGCCAATCAGTTTCAGCCCCAGACAAGTTCACTATGGATTCAGTGTGACCAAAGAAATGACAGTAGAATGTTCTTGTGGTGAAAGGGTTTATACCCAACTTTATTCCCACAGTGGCAGGTCAATCACTAGAATCCCATCCACTCAGTGTGAATCTGCATGCAGCAAGCCAGTCTCTGCCTCTGGGCCTCTCTACCTGCACAGCTTTCTCAGTCTCTGTCCTCAGTGCTGCCACCACTCCAGTCTCATCTCTGCTCTCATGCAGCCTTGCAGGTGCCACCATGTCCTGCAAAGCACTGGGCAGAGCTCTTTATATAGAGTCAATACCAATGTATTGCCCACACGTGTGTAGTGAGCTAGCCGACCAGGGCCAGATGAGAATCCTGGCTACAGGAACCTTCACTTTATCCACACAAGGTGATGCTGATGTGCTTGTCAGGGACCACACTTTGAGAACCACTGGTTTAAGGCATTAACTCTTAAACAGGAGTTAAAAATTACATGTTAAATGACAATAAATGTAAGTGCCTGAGAACAATGCCTGGCTTATAATAGGTCTCAAATATTTCTTGGATGTATAAATTCTTATAATTTTCTTATCTGGCAATTAAAAATCAATGTTATCGACTGTGGAGGAGCTTTTAAATAGTAAAGATGAGAAATACAGATGTCTAGATTCTACTACAGACCAACTGGTTCAGAATCTCCAGAAATGGGCCCGTATTGTGTATTAATATATTTTTTAAATCTCTGGAAGTGATACTGATGATTCAGGCAAAGACCACTGATTTGAGGAAATTCCAAATGGTGTCTTGTCAGTGAATTGTTCCCAGGGCTCTTGTTCATGCTTTCTTGAAACTTATATATGAAAAAAATAATATAGTGTACTGAAATTTGAAAACTATATACAAATGAGAAATGTTATAAATGGTTTCTGATGATTTGCAAAGACCATATGTCTTTCCTGAGAGATTCAGCCCCAGACAAGTTAACTTTGGATTTAGTGAGACTGAAGAATGACAATGAATGTTCTCGGAGTTAAAGAGTTTATTACCGAGCTTTATTCTCCCAGTGATAGGTCAAGCACTAGAATCACATCTGCATCCTACAGCCTGCAGGTCTGTCATCCTCCTCCATCTCTGTCCCCACAGCCATGTCAGTCTCTGTCCTCAGCGCTGCCACTGCTCCAGCCTCTGCTCTCCTGCAGCCATGCAGTCCGGAGCACTGGGCAGAGCTCTTTTAGAGTCAGTAGTAACATACAGCCCACACATGTAGTGAGCAAGCCGACCATGGTCAGGTGAGAATCCTGGCCATAGGAACTCTCATTTTCTCTGCACCATAACAAATTGGCTAAATGATTAAAAACAAATCAAACAGACTTGACATCCAACATGGAAAAGTACAGAGTTGGAAGGAAAAATTAGATGATCAGAATGTGATATAATAGATAAGGTAGGAAAATAATTTGTTAGTGCTGAATGATCTAGCCTTTTTGTATTGTTTTCTAAACTTCTGTTAATATAGGTTCTTGTAAGGTGACTTACCTTTACTAAATTATAATCTTGGATGTTTTCAGACCTCTTGTTTTGAAAAGAATATGCATCCACAGCCATGAGATTAATACTTGTTATCTAGCTGTTGGTTAACTATCCTAATTATTGGTTACAATCGTAAAGTTAAGATTTATTAGAAAAATATGTAGGAATTTAAATTATGTTAGAAAATACAGTTTTTAACTGTTACTTGTTTGCTTATACTATAACCAATAACCTGAAAGAGTTTAATGTGAGGATGTGACAGACACCTTGGTACAATTTTTTAACAAATTGTTACAGAAGCAACAAATTAGTACCTGTGAAAAAATGAAAAATTACAAACAAGGCCTATCCCAAATCCCTTACAAAAGTAAACCACTATTTTTTATTTGATGTGTAACTTTTCAGACTTTTTCTAATACAGTTTTAAACTCTGGTTTATATTATAAGTGTAGGTTTTATTTATTTGTTGAAAAAGATCTGAATACCACCAATGTGCCAGCCTAGGCTAGGAACTGAAGAAATAAAGAAAAGACAGTGTGTGAAAGATAAAGTGACTGGGGCATGGTGATGTTTAGAAGAGAGGAGTTGCTCAGTGGGTAGGCAATCTCAAGAGACCATCTTTTAGTGTCTAGTAGATGAGAAAGAAAAGTTTGACAGAGTTTAAAATACCTTTTTGAACAACTGATGCCCAGGAGAGTATATGGATTTATTTAAATAAATATTTCTTCACAGGTGGAGTGCAGTAATTTTTCCATTACCATTATGAGAATTGCATGACAGAGCTAAACATTTAAATTATCATGTTACACTCATCATACAATATAGTGATATAAAGAACAGATGATGGTCAATTCAATGGGTTATGCTATTAAGTGGCAGTACTAAAAGATACTTCATGGAGTGGTATAGATACTCTAGGTACACAATATGTCATGCTGTTTATTAGTATATTTTCCCCCTTCTTGTTTGGAAGATAAAGCAATATACTGAATCACTTAGCTGAGTAATTGTATTTCCCATGGTTATAATTTAGTGTCCAATAGTTCATGTCCTAATACATAAAGTTCTGAATCTAGTATTAAAAAATATATTTCAAACTTTTTTTTCCAATAGGATTCCATATGGCTCTCATATCATTCCTCTCCATCTTTGCCAAGATTTGGATACTGCAAAAACCTGTGTTTGTGGAAGATTCTGTCTAAGCTCTTTTATTGAAGGAACTACTACCATGAATCTCCACTCTGTTGCTCACACTGTGGTCTTGGTAGATAATATGGGTGGTACTGAAGCACCTGTTGTCTCTTACTTCTGTTCTCTAGCCTGTTATGTAAATTCCTGTGATATGTTAAAGTAATAGACATACCACAAAAGGAGATTCCATTTAGTTACATATGAGCTTGGGATTCATTTAAGGTTTAACAGTGTCAAATTAAAGAAAGGGAAGCTTTTTGTATACTTGTGTGGGAGGAAGAACATTATTTTAACATTTTTACTCATTTAACCATAAAACCTTAATTTCATTAAAATCTAATTTTATTGTGGAGCTAACATTTTATCCATTTATTGCACATGTGATTTCAGCCTAGTTTTCCAAAGTTGTTTGTGGGGTTATCTTTTAACATTAAACAGATATTGATCCCAATCACACTGGTCATAGAATTTTATCAACTTTCTTCCTGCATTTCAATTGAAGAAATTGAGTTTCTGTATATTTTCTCCAAGAAAATATATCTTGGAGGACTAATATGATCTAAATTATACTGAAAACCTGTTTGGTATGAAACTACTACAAGTTTTTAAGTACATATTTTTTCAGGTATATTATTCTGTATACAGAATTTTATATTCAGCAAGCATAGAGTTGCTTTGGGATCAACAGACATCAGCGTTTGTTAAGTTTTATAATGGTAATCACATAATCTTTTGTAATTCTTGTGTTTTAATTTTTAGGTTTGGAACGTTTTGGGGTTGGAGAGAACACAATTATTTTTACTTATTACATTCTCCATTATTTGAGTTCCTTTTTCAGTTAATTATTTTAGTCACTTTTAATGTGTTTAAGGTTTTAAATTTAAAAAATGGTGGCAATACATAGTAGCTAAAGGATGATGAGAGGATTTGAACTAGGGCAGAGGAAATAGAAAAGGAACAAACTTCAAAGACTCATGGAAAATGGAACCAATGGAACTCCATTCTGTTCATTCTCACTGCCCTTCCTCAAAACAACCTCTCTCCTAGATCATTACAAATAGTCACATAACTGATTTCGAACGAAGGAGATAAAGAAGTTACCAGAGAAAATCCTCTCTGATGTTTGCCTATCATTTTGGGCTTGGGAGGTAGAGGTGGGGGTCGTCTGTTTAAGATATTTTGTTATGCTTTGTTCTTACTGAAATATTTGGAGCATGTTTTTGTTTTCTGAAAAACACTAATATTCCTAAGTACTGTTTTAAATGTTGGAATATTGTTATTAAAAATATAGGTATATGATCTCCAAGATGTAGTTTCTTAAGAGCTGATTGAGGCATTGGTTCAGAGGAGTAATTCTTTGGATGACCTTAAATTTTCATTGCTAGTCATCAAATTCTTCCTGTAAGATTTTTTATATATATAAAGCCACATATACTCAAATAAAAAGGGCTGCCATTTATCTGTTACTTTCACCAAGTGTTTTATATATGGTATTTTATTTATTTAGTCCTCACAAATTACCCTATGAGAGAGATACCATGAAACCAGATTAGAGATTTTAAGCCCAGGCTTCAACCTTCTGAAGATAATTCACTTTTGGTCTTTAAACCCAAGAATTCTGTAATTAAAATATCCTAGGATTTTCTGAACTCACAAATTGGTGTGGGATTGCCCATAAATATAACCGTATTAAAATATTCTTTAAAAGGTATTTTGTGGCATATTTGAGTTAACTTGTACATATCCAGTCATTACATGTTCTTTTAGCAAGACAATTTTTTTCATCAACGGATATAAAACCCTACACCCTAGCCCTTTCCATTCTTATTCATCTACAAGCTGTTTAAATAGCTTAAAATTCACGTACAAAAAGCTGCTTCTGCTCATAATCCATACTCTTTGCCAATATACTTTTCATTTGATGAACTTCTCTGCCTTTTGTAATGACAAATCAAAAACTCGACAGACCAAGATTTCTCTGAAATAAAAGGGATTACTGGATCTTTACAGATGCTAGCAAGAAAAAGGACTAAGTCCCAGGATAGGAAGTTGCTGCTTCACCAGCAGCACGGCCAATTAACAGAAACAGCTTTAATGCCAGACTCAACAGGTAACATTTAAAAAGGGTCTCAAGGAAAGTTTGATAAATTCACGTTGACTATAGATAAGGAAGGTGGGCTCATGTGAAGCAGTCCAAGTCCCAGATAGGTGATTAATACATAAAGGCTCATGGGTTGGTTGGTGATGGTCAGACACTGGTCAGGTACAAGGGAGTTGCAGTGCTTCTAAGGAACTTTTACATGATTAGTAAAAGGACTTCAACCAGCAATGTGGTTTCTGGTTAGCTACAGCCCACAGCTGTTGACTGATTACCTTTCCTTGTATCTCCCCCTCATTCTCTGGCCCTTATATCACTTAATTTAGGGCATTTCAGAATTTTTCCTTATCAAAAGGTATTTACAAGCCTCACTTGTTTCAACCTTTCATTTTATTTTCACTGCTGTGTACCTCAACAGTCAGGAAGTTACAACCTTTGATTACCTCCCAAAGTATGTTCTGAAAGGTTCAAAAAAACATTTCATTTTTCTTTATATATTTAGGACTTTCAGTAGCTTTAGAAATTTTTATGGCTAGAAGCAAATTTTTAAGTCCTGTTTTATATTCAAGACCATGGTCTAAAACAGTTCTGTCCATAAAAGTATAATGGAAATACATCTGTGTAGTCTAATAGGGCAGCCACTAGCCACCTGTGGCTGTTGAGCACTAAATGTAGTTAGTATAACTGAGCAAGTACACAAGTACAGACAGTACATTTGTAGTCAGTTCTTTTTAATCCCTCAGCTTGGATCCTCTGGCCTACCCAGTCTGTCATACACACAGGTCTAGCTTGTCCTCTTCATTTACTTTTTCACAATTTGATAGAGACCTTTCCCAGCAACTCATCAATCATGATTATAAATTCACCCAACATATTTGAAATTGAACAGGAAAAGTAATCAAAAATTTTTTCTAGCTATGTACCTCCAAAACCTAGTTGTAAATTTCAAGGTGGAACTCGTTTTTCTTTATAAATACAAAATTATAATCCTTGTGGAACTAAATTTAAATGAGAATTTGAGATAACAAATTCACTGAAATAATTTCCTATAATTCTTTTAGAAGCTTAATTCATATTAAGCATGAAATTTTTTTCAAAAACGAAAGACCAGACCAACTGTATTTCAGAATTTTTCAATGAAATTTTATTTTCGTTTCTCTACAGCTTCAAAATTTTCTCTCAAAAATAGAAGAGCAGGAGACTCCCAAAGCTTAGAACTGGATCACTTGGCCCTTTCTCTTCTTATCGCCTCCCAATTCAAAATGCTTGCATCTCTTAATGGCGAGCATCCTCTTGGATCTGCAGTTGGGCTCAACACATTCAAGCCTCAGCACAATCTTCTTTGTGGTTTTTGCCTTTTTCCGGAAAATTGGCTTTGTCTGCCCACCATAGCCACTCCGCTTCCGATCATAGCGCCTCTTTCCTTGCGCATACAGGGAATCCTTGCCCTTCTTATACTGGGTGACTTTGTGAGGCTGATGCTTTCCGCACTTCTTACAGAAGGTCCTTCGGGTTTTAGGAACATTGACCATTTTTGCGGTAGACCTGTCTACACAATGAAAACAGTGGAAAAACATTTAAATTCATGGGAGCAGACATTAAATATTCTGAAAATAATATAAATGCTTAAACAAAAATAGCATTACATTAAATCAGTAATGCATAAACCCACCAATTACTCATTTCCCATAAGAGTAAATATACATACGAGTGCACACCTTTTGGAATGCTTAAATTATTGGAGAATTTATGCAATGAGACTAAATATCGGCAAAAACTGCTTAACAGGGACGCCCGGTAGTCAGTTCCCTGCACAGTGGGTTTCTTTCGGGCTTAATTTACTATGGCGTCCAAAAAACTAAAGCGTAATGGTGTTTATTTTATTTTCTTCCGCAGAAAGAGAGCCAAGGTTAGAGTTTGCTTTTGACTCTTCCTCGCGCCCTCCTCCGTTGTAGCTCCTAGGGTACACGTGGTTTAAGGCACGACAGATAAGCTATCGCTACCGCCCGCCTCCGTTCCTTCTCCGAAACAGCATCGGTTTGATTTCATTTTTCTCCTCCGGGGCACCGTCCCCCGTCCGCCAGCCCTTAAGGCTGACGTGTCCTTAGTAAGTGCCTCCGGGCCCAGCTGCCGCCATGCTTGTGTTCCTTTCTTGTAGGGAGAAGCTACTTCTAGAACTCTATCAAGCCAAGGCAGCTGGTCTCGCCCCCACTTTCCTACAAGCGCCTAGGCCATCCCCTGACTCTGAGCAATTAAAGTTAGTATTAAGACGGCCACAGTCCCTTCCTTGGCTTACCCGAAAATTCAGCAACCACACTCCTCTCCTCGCAATGCTCGCGCCTAGCAGGAAGAAGGAAAGAAGCGGAAGTAGGAACTAAGCTTGAGCGACAGTGGCATGGGCCAATAGGCAGCAGGCAGAGACGGCCGGGCGTCTCCCGACGCGTCAGGGAAGGGCCAACCAACGGCTCAAGGGGCGGGCCGCAGGGGTGTGGGCCCGAAGGCCCCCGCGCTCGCCCAGCCAGTAGAGGGTTGTCAGAACGGTCGTAGCCGGAGTGGGGCAGGGTTGCGTCGGTCGGTCTTGGGCGTCTGGGGCCCGCATAAGGATGAGAGCGCAGAGGACGCAGGGCCGCTGGTGGGGCAGGTAACGAAGCTGGGGTGCGGCGGGGCAGCTTCCGGGACCCGTGCTGAATGGAGAGGACCGAGGCGACGCCGAGCCGCGGCTTCTAGCGGCGGGGCCGCTGCCCGGCAAGGATGTATGGATCCCGGGCGGCGCGGGGGAGCTGAGAGCCTGCGGGCCCCAAGACCCCCGGGGCCCGGGATGAGTTAGCGAGCGCAGCCGTGGGGGCCAGCTCCGACTGCTGCAGGCCAAGGCGACCGCTGCCGCCCGCCCCTTAAGTGCAGAAGCAGCTAGCTCCTTTTCGCGCCCGCCCGCCGGCGCTCCCGGCCCGGGAGACCATGAGGTTCCGCATCTACAAGCGGAAGGTGCTGATCCTGACGCTCGTGGTGGCCGCCTGCGGCTTCGTCCTCTGGAGCAGCAGTGGACGACAAAGGAAGAACGACGCCCTCGCCCCGCCGCTGCTGGACGCCGAACCCGCACGAGGTGCGGCCGGCCGGGGCGCAGATCATCCCGCGGTGTCCGTGGGCATCCGCCGAGTCTCCAACGAATCTGCGGCTCCTTTGGTCCCGGCGGCACCGCAGCCCGAGGCGGACAACCTGACGCTGCGGTACCGGTCCCTGGTGTACCAACTGAACTTTGACCAGACGTTAAGGAATATAGATAAGACCGGCTCCTGGGCCCCCAAGGAGCTGGTGCTGGCGGTCCAGGTGCATAACCGGCCGGAGTACCTCAGACTGCTGCTGGATTCACTTCGAAAAGCCCAAGGCATTGACAACGTCCTTGTTATCTTTAGCCATGACTTCTGGTCGACAGAGATCAATCAGCTTATTGCTGAGGTGGATTTCTGTCCGGTTCTCCAGGTGTTCTTTCCTTTCAGCATTCAGTTGTACCCCAACGAGTTTCCAGGCAGTGACCCCAGAGACTGCCCCAGAGACCTGGAGAAGAATGCAGCTTTGAAGATGGGATGCATTAATGCTGAGTATCCTGACTCCTTTGGCCATTACAGAGAGGCCAAGTTCTCCCAAACCAAACATCATTGGTGGTGGAAGCTGCATTTTGTTTGGGAAAGAGTCAAAATTCTTCAAGACTATGCTGGCCTCATACTTTTCCTAGAGGAAGATCACTACTTAGCACCAGACTTTTACCATGTCTTCAAAAAGATGTGGAAGTTGAAGCAGCTAGAGTGTCCTGAGTGTGATGTTCTCTCCCTGGGGACCTATACTGCCAGTCGAAGTTTCTATGGCATTGCTGACAAGGTAGATGTGAAAACTTGGAAATCCACAGAGCACAATATGGGTCTGGCCTTGACCCGTGATGCATATCAGAAGCTGATCGAGTGCACAGACACTTTCTGTACTTACGATGATTATAACTGGGACTGGACTCTTCAATATTTAACTGTATCTTGTCTTCCAAAATTCTGGAAAGTGTTGGTTCCTCAAGTTCCTAGGATTTTTCATGCTGGAGACTGTGGTATGCACCACAAGAAAACCTGTAGACCATCTACCCAGAGTGCCCAAATTGAGTCACTCTTAAATAATAACAAACAGTACTTGTTTCCAGAAACTCTAGCTATCAGTGAGAAGTTTATGGCAGCCATTTCCCCACCAAGGAAAAATGGAGGATGGGGAGATATTAGGGACCATGAACTCTGTAAAAGTTATAGAAGACTGCAGTGAAAAATCACAGTTACAAAAGCAAAAGTGACAGTCTTCTATTTTTGATATTTGCCCACACAGGATATCCAGTTGAATAAAGTGGTTTAGGAACTGGTTTCTGCTTTAATACAAAAAAAAAAAATTCTTGGAGAAGTCCAAATATAGTAATCTTTTATGTCTGATTAAGATTTAAAAACAGTTTCATTTTGGGAGTTGGGTTTTAAAGCTCAATCTGTATTTGCTAAAGTTATTGGTAAGAAAAGGAAATTTTATTTAAATTGCATCTATTCTTTTTATCTGGAACTTTGTACACTTTTCCACTTTTAA